ATCAAAAATCCCAAATAGGGCGTAAAGTAAGAAAATAATCAAAAATCCCAAATAGGGCGTCAAGTAAGAAACTAATCAAAAATCCCAAATAGGGCGTCAAGTAAGAAAATAATCAAAAACATGGTGTCTGACACGACGGCCCTGCCCGCACAGGTCACAGCTCTCTCGAATCCCCGGAGGGTCTCCAGGTGCGGCGTTGTAGGACTAGCACCGGACTGCGAACCACAGGTCGGCGGTTCAAACCCACCAGCCGCTGCTCGGAAACCCCGTACAGGGGCGCTAGGAGTCGAACCGACTCGGCGGCTCCCACCACAGATCTCCTGAACGCACGTGGTTCCCCAACGTGGGGGCGGAAACGAGGAGGAAAAGGAGGGTCTCCCCTAGTCTCAAACCTGGGGCGCAGGCGAGAGCTCGGCCCCAGATCGTCACGCGTGGGCTCTCCGGGTGACACCGTGCACCACCGAGGCGATGCCGGAATGGGGTCTTCGCCGGCCCGACGAGCCCTAATTCCCGCCCGGAAGCATGCTAACCTGTCGCTCCGCTCCCTCACGGGCCCGCGGCGCCGTCCCTCAGAGAGCAGGCGCCTGAACAGCCCTCGACCGGAAGCCGGACGACGGAAACAGAGAAAGCAGAAGCGAAGCCCTTGCCCAAATCCAATATGGCCACTTGGAACCTCGGTCGCCGCCGCGGCGAGCGCGCATACCCTGCCCGGAGTAAAGATGCCCGCGGAGAAGGCGCACATCCGGGGGCGGGGCGCGAGGGGCGGGTCCGCATTTCTCCGCCCGCCGACCCACCCACTACCGGCAGGACGCTGACCCGGGGCCTTCCCATTGGCCGCTTCTCGTGGCGAATTCGGATTGGGCCACGTGAAGACGGGGCGGAAACCACAAACCAATCGTGGCGCGCGCCCGGGCAGCTGGGCGTGGCCTCGCCAATGCCGAGAAGTATCCCCGGGAACGGCTGGCGCGGCTGGAGCTGGTGGGCGGGCCGGGCCGGTGTCGCCGAGCTGCGCGTCTCGGAGTCCCGCAGCGCCATGCGCCCGCCGCCGCCCGCCGTGCTGGGCCTCTTGCTGCTGCTACTGTCGCTGCCAGCGCCCGAGGCTGCCAAGAAGCCGACGCCCTGCGCGCTTTGCCAGAGTCTGGTGGATAAGTTCAACCAGGTGGGCCGGGGTCACCCCATGGGGACCGGGGTTACCCCGAGTTGATGGGGGCTGGATCCTAGGGGGACAGGGTCTCCCCCAGAGTAGGATCTAAAGTCTGGGGATCCCTGGCGAGCCTCTCCAAGCTCCGCGGCCCTTACTCCGCAGGGCATGGTGGATACAGCGAAGAAGAACTTTGGCGGTGGGAACACGGCCTGGGAAGAGAAATCACTGTCCAAGTATGAGTTCAGGTGGGCACCTGGTCCGCACAGCTCCTGCGCTGCGTCACCCTAGAGTCTGCTTGGAGCGGGTGTCCTGACCTGATAGCTGTCAGTTGCCGTAAACGGCCCACAGCTGTGGGCCACAAGCACGCCAACGCCCCCCATGCACGCTCCAGTGAGCCTTACAGATGTGGCCTCCCAATCTTGTCCTCTTCCTGGCTCGGCAGCTGGGGCCCCCTCTGTGAGGATGGGAGGTGCTGATCCACCGGGCCGTCCCCACGACCCTGTATTTCAGTGAGATTCGCCTGATGGAGATCCTCGAGGGCTTGTGTGATAGCAGTGACTTCGAGTGCAACCGGATGCTGGAGGAGCAGGAGAGCCACCTGGAGGATTGGTGGTTGCAGCTGTGAGTGCTGGACGGGGCCTCCTCCGGACACAGCTCAGCCCCAGTAGCTCTCTGCTCAGGGCAGTTCCTGGGGACTTCAGTCCCGACTGGGAGTTGGCTGCCCAGGTGACCCGGGTGGGTGACCGAAGGTCACAACGCTCAGCTCTTTTGACCCTGAAGACCCACTTTATGGACGGCACCACACGGGCCGGGTCCTAGATGCCCTAGAGTGTGTTTCCCTGGGAGCGTGTCGGGGTGTGCTGAAGTCTGTTCTCCGGTACCATAGGAAGCAGCAGTTCCCGGACCTGTTTGAGTGGTTCTGCGTGAGTACGCTGAAGCTCTGCTGCTCTCCTGGGACGTATGGGCCCAACTGTCTGGGTACGCTCCTCCTCGGACTCTCAGGGCCCCGTGAGACATGGGTGATGAAGGTACAGGGAGGGGCCAGACTTGGGAAGACCGTGCCACCGAGACACGAGCCGACAGCACAGACGAGACTTGCCCCATCTGTGACCAGCCCATGCCACCAGCGACACAGAGGCCGTGAGGTTGGGGGCGCTCACCTCTCACTTTGCTCTTTGGGTCACTGAGCTGAGCGTCCCACCTCGTTGTGCTATAAGTTCTAAGTCACAGACCTTCGGTGTCGTGTGAGCTCCTCCTAGGAGACTTGCTGAGAGCTGTCCCGAGCAGCAGTGACCATGCGCAGTGGGGAAGCAGCAGCGGGGTCTGTTAGGGAGCTGTGTGGAAGCCTTGGTCCACTTCTGGTCACTACAGTCAGTCACCCTGGTCCATCTAGACAAAGCGTACATTCAGAACCCCTGCCCCCATCATGTGCTGCCGTCCCCACCTCGTGATGGGCTGGACGCAGCAGGACAACTTCCCTCCCACACACCTGAAGTGAAATGGAAACTTCCTCACAGCCCATGTTCCAGGGAGGAAGTGTGTCTGGAAGTCTGGGGCCACCAGGGGTCACACCGTGGTGAAGCGGGGCACCCACGCCCATGACCCCATGCAGGTGACGGGACGGTGGGTCAGCGGACCTCAAGAGGCTTCGCGAAAGCTCGTGCAGCCTGTAGACCTACCCACTCAGGCTCTGGCTGGGTGAGGAAGCTGCTGTCTCTCTCTCCACAGCGTGCCCTGGTGGCACCCAGAGGCCCTGCAGTGGGAACGGTCACTGTAGTGGGGACGGCAGCCGGCAGGGGGATGGGTCCTGCAAGTGTCACATGGGCTACCATGGCGCGTTGTGCACCGACTGCCTGGATGGTTACTTCAGCGCCTTGCGGAACGACTCGCACAGCGTCTGCACAGGTGTGGGTGCTGAGGAGGGGCCGGGCCGCCTCGCTTGTGTCCCTGCTGTGGGACTGAGCGTGCTCCTCTGGGTTTTTCCCAACTCCTTAACCCATGGGGAGTACCTGCCTCGAGGGCCATCTGACAGCTGCGTCTCCCTTCCAGTCTGTCACGAGGCCTGCAAGACGTGCACAGGCCCTACCAGCCGGGACTGCACTGAGTGTGAGGTGGGCTGGGCCCGTGAGCAAGATGACTGCATCGGTGAGACCCCTCCCCACCCTGGGCCTGGCTGCCCTGTGCCCCAGCCAAGCTTGGAGCCTCAAGGTGCTGCCGGTGTGCGGTGGGTTGGCACTGTGGTAGTTGGTTCACTGTTGGCCCAGAGGGGAACAGCAGGTCAGGGAGAACACCTGCCGGCGTGTGGGCACAGACAGGGAAACTATGCCTCATGCCCCACATGCCTCATGCAGCGAGCATGTGGGAGGGCATGGGCACATTCAGGGTGCAGCTTTGCCTGGGTCTGGAGAGGCTGCTGGGAAGGAAAACCCAGAGTTTGTCTCCTGCAATGGGGGTAGCACCATCCCAGCCTTGGTCTCCACGCTCCGTCCCCTCTTCACCTGGCCCAGGGTGCCCAGGGCTCTCGGGGACAGGGCTGGGTTTGGGTCTCACATCTCAGCAGCTGTTGGCCTTAGGTGGGTCCCCGCCTGTCACATCTAAAGTGAGTGCTGTCAGTGTTCTGGGGACTCGGGGACCAAAGGCTGCTGGACACAGTTGGGGCCCCTGTGTCTGTGAAGCTGTCCGTTCACATTGTCACCTCACACAGACTCCATTTTCACGTCCACACTCCATCCTGCGACCTTCAACCCACACCCCCTGATTCCGTCCCTGCTCACCCCACACGCCTGTATTCTCTACCTCCCCACCTAGCACCCTTCACCATTTGTCCTGCCCCTCACTGTGCAGGGCTTCCAAGGGCGAAAGTTTAGGTCACTCAGGGTCCACCTCTTAGCCCTGCTCCGGGTTCTGAGGCACTTGTATTGGAGGCAGACTTTGTGGGTGGTTTGCAGAACTTTTGAAGGCCCAGACCCTTCTGTTCACTGAAATAGCTGGGGTATTGCAGCCTCGTCCCTGCTGTTTGCAGGCTGTCTGGGGGTGGACACGTCCTGAGGTGGGCTCCACTGGGAGTGGGGAGAGTGGGGGCTCAGCTGGCAGCTCGGACAGACTCCGCACCCTCAGAGTTCTGGCTCCCGATGCTAGTGGACTGTACACTGAAGGACAGGTGACCTGCCCAGGACCCTACTTGTCCCTTGTGGAAGGGAGTGAGGTATGGGCATGAGTGTCAGGTGGAGGTGCCAGCAGCGTGTCTTCAGAGGTGCCTGGGGGATTTCACTGCTCTGTCTCTTCCAGATGTAGATGAGTGTGCAGAGGACACGCAGCTGTGCGGCGAGAACCAATATTGCAAGAATGTCCCCAGCTCCTATCTGTGCGAAGGTGGGCCCCTAGTCCGGAGACTGGAGGGGTCCTCAGGGAAGGTGGCACGTACTCCCTGGGCCCTGCGGGTTTTCTGTTGTAAACACATACTTGTGTCCCACAAGCGTGGCTTTTATATGCACCCCCACTTGAGAGATTTAAGGTAGTAACACAAGTAACGGACACACGCTTCAGGGAACTTGGGAAGTTTAAATTGGCTGAAAAGCAGGATGGAATAACAGGCCCTCCGTGCCCCTGCCAGGAGCCGCAGCTCCACATGGGTGGCTGGTACCTACACGGGCTGAGTGTGACACCCTGGCCGGTTCCTGGTCACTAACCCCCTGGACAGCTGGGCCTCCCATCTCCCCACAGCGTGCCTGGCACCTGGCAGAGTCCGAGCTTTGCTGGGCAGGTGGATGTTTTAGTTACCAATTTGTCACAGTGATAACCCTTTGTAGTTTTGTAGCTAAGTCTAACCACGTGTTTTGTCGTTCTCTGTGGGTCAGCGTTCTTCAGGGCCAGCTGCCCCCAAGTGGTTTAATGAGTTTCACGTTTGTGCTGTTACTGTGGCAGTGAGGTCACAGGGGAAGCCTTGGGGAGACTTTGCCTTCAGCTGTTCTGAGTAAGCCTGTCAGCTGCTAACCAAAAAGTTGGCGATTTGAGAACACAGAGGTGCCTCGGCAGACAGGCCTTCCCAAAAGCCGATAAACACCCTGTGGAGGTCGGTGCTCGTCTGACATGCACAGGGTTGCCGGGCCTCAGAGTCCATTTGGATTGGTATTTTAGGGAGCAAGGCAACACCCCCAAGTTCTTCTGCCTCCCATTTGACAAGGTCAGCCTTTCCATTTTCACTCAGACCTGAGGACTTTGCGGAGGGCAGCTGTGGTTATGAAGTCACCAGCGGCCACGTAGGCACTGCACTGCAGGAGACGGATGCTGGCTGCAGATAAGCACCCACTCTTGCCTCGGGTCCTCGGACCTGGAGCGCGGCCTCACGTCTTTGTCTCTGCCCTCCTGTTTCTAGACTGTGACTCTACATGTGTGGGCTGTACAGACAAAGGCCCAGACAAGTGCATCGAATGTGTCCCGGGCTACGCCAAGGATGAGAGCGGCCAGTGCTCAGGTGGGTGGCACACGGCGGCAGGAACAAGAGCCCTGGGGAAGGGCCTCCCCAGGTCAGGGGCTCTCACAGCTTGTAGGCACAGCTGCCCAGGTGTCCCATTTGCATAGTTGCCATGTGTGAGGTCCCCCTCTGTCTTGACCTTTGGGTTTTTTGTGCAAGTGCATCAGTGGACATGTGGGTCCCATCACCTGTGATGACTCTTCTTGCCGCCCGGGTGTTTGTGTTGCAGACATAGATGAATGCTCACAGCCAGAAAAGCCATGTGCCCGGGAAAATGAGAATTGCTACAATACCCCAGGGAGCTTCGTCTGTGTGTGTCCCGACGGTTATGAGGAGACAGACGATGCCTGTGTGCTGACCGTGGGGGCCGGTAAGTGGGGAGGCCTCTGAGGGCACCTGGTCCTGGTCTATCTGCACAGCCAATTGGCGCAGGAATGCCAGGACTCAGAAGGGACACAGAGCAGCCCTGGGTGCAAGGGTTGGGGCTCCTAGAGGATGAATGCGTAACGCTCTGCACATATGGGATACCATCTAAACGAGACCCAGCCGCTCAGAACCCCCAGCAGGAGTGTGACTGGAAGTGGATTTGGAAATGAGCAGCTTGTACGCAAGTAAACCTTCAAAGAAACAATCTGAAAGATGAGAAAAGAACAAAAGCTGTCAACAGGAGTTTACGAAGGGCGTTTAAACCGTAAAAGCAGGTAGAAGTTACGGAAGCGGAAAGGGAAGTGACCGAAATGTCAAGCTCAGTGGATGGGCTAACGGGAGAGACAGGTGGAAACATCTGGGGATGTTGACAGAATGCTGCAGAAGGAGGAGGCTGGGAGAGAAGTGGACGTGGCCTGAGAAGGCCCCTGGGATCACCATGGAAGTTGTGAGTGGGAATGCCGAGTGGAGGAGGAGACAGCCGGCAGAGGTCTGTGTGGCCTCCACGTGTCCACCTCCCTCCTTTTAGTGAACGTGCCGCTGGGTCCTGCGTGTGGGCGCTTTTCTGACAGTTTGCCCTACACTTGGCATCTGCCCTGCTCAATGGGGCCTGGCGGAGGCCACGGGACAGTAACGTTGCTACTGCAGACAACATGGTGTCATAAAACACCCGAAGGGCCTCTGGGCTGCACAGAGGGTCTGCAAGCTCCTGCCTTTTGACTGGAAGACCCCACACAGTCAGCCATCACCGCCCAAGCGTCCTCTTGTGGACCATGAGCACCTTCCACCTGATAAGCTCCCAGTCAGTCCCCACGGCAGCTCCACTGGCCTGGGCACCTGATCAGCCCCTGAGGCCCTGTCCTCACTCTGAACGGGCATCTCGGGGGCAGCCCACTCAGAGTAGATGTCAGCCCATGCACTGGCCATTTGTCCCTTGGTCTGACCCCGGGGCCTTACTGTTGGGCTTGTACTCAATGACATATGTTTATTTTCTCATAGAAATGGACGAAAAAAAGCCAACACCGCCCCTACCCCATGAAGACTTATAATGTGATTCTACACCGGAAGACACCAGACCTACCCTTAAATTATTCAGACCCAAGCCTCCGTGAAACACGACCCCGGAGTTGGGGGAAGGCCTCCTGGGATGCCAACACCATGTGGCCCAGAGCTGTGACTGCCTCTTAGAGTCCTTTATTTTGATACTGTTCTTTATAATAAACTTGACCACTGGAGGTAGTCGGGATGGCGTGTGGCCGGTGCACCGAGAAGTACCCCTTACCTGCTGGAGTGGGCAGATAACTCCGCCCCATTTTGTGGACACCCCCCTCCCATCCAGCCAATGCTCTACCAGCTCTGGATGCCCCAGGTTGCATGGACACTCCTCTCCTAGTGGACACCTCCCCTCTTGTCCTGATGGATGTCCCTGTCTCAGTGGTACCCCCCTAGTCCGAGTAAGCATCCCCCACCCAAGTGGATGCCCCCCAGTCCTAATGAACATCCCACTGGTCTCAGTGGGTACTCCCCTCCCAGTCCTAACAGGGGTGCCCCTCTGGTTCTGGTGGACGCCCCCAGGCAGGTGGTATGTAAACAACAGTGTCCTGGGATTGTTTGGGGCCCATGTTCAGACACGGTGTCCAGTCCTGGGGGGCGTTACCCTCCATGGAGGTGGACCTGGCACCATGCATGGAGACTGAGAAGGAGGGCTTCACAGGTCAGTGAGGGGCTCAACTCGTAGACGCCTTTCCAAGTCTCATTGGCGTGGCTCCTGTGATAGAGAGGGACCCCTGAGATAGAAGGTCATGTTGGGGGCAGAGCTGGAAAATAAACTCCATCTCATACAAAAAGGGTGCCATATGGGACCCCCGTTAGCGCCCCTGACCCTGCTGGGTTAGACCCCACCTTCCAGGCACACCACCTGTGGTCACAATGTAGGTGGGCCTGGAGTGCCCCGCATGGGGCCTGCTCTGACCTTGCCTAGGCCTGCCTGTTCGTCCCCACAGCCTGGCTGCCCCAACCGTGGGGCTGGGATACGGCCCAGAGGTCGCCTGAAGGGACTTTGGGATTGGAGTTGGCTCAGCCTCACCAACTCCTGCCAGAAGTCGCCTTCAGTTGAATAGGGGCGGAGCCTCGCTCTCTAATCCAGACTTGGAAGAGTCAGGGGTGGGCCCACCATGGGCTGAGCTGGCCACCTGGAGACCATAGTATTCTGGGGATGAGCAGGGCAGAGCATGGACCCACCCCGAGCACACCTGTGTGCTCACGCACAGGTGCACTCGACCCTGGCCAGCTTCCCTGGGAGGACCCGACCGACCGTAGCTGCGTGTTGGAAGCGCTCCTCCCCGGCTCTGCCTGGAGCCCAGATCGGTGCTGCCAGCAGGCAGTCTCAGCGCCCAGCACCTGGCCAGGGACTTGGGGAGGGGAAGGTCCCTGGGCAACCACCCAGCCTTCACGGCACCCCTCACAGAGTAGGTCATGGGCGTGCCTTTCCACCCCATCAAAGGTCATTTCTGGAGGTCTCAGGCCACACCAGGGGAACACGCCGCCCCTACCCGGGACTTGGGGACTCTCCTTCCTCACCCTCAGTCTCGTCCTGGGGTGGTATGTACGATTGTCCGGAGGAGGCTGGACGCCTGGATCTATGTTGCTGCTCCTCCTCCCACCCCCACCCCGGAGATGACAAGATTGGGGTGACCAGTTTTCTAGTGTGTCCCCGGCTAGGTCCTGCCTCAGAGCTTTTACACTGACGTCCCACCCCCACCCCTTGCCCCATGTGAACCTCTTTGCTTCCTCCTTCCAGTGGGATGTCAGCTCACCTGATCCCTCAGGGGACCACCCTTTATCCATCCCCACTTCAGCGCCATTCTTTCTTCCCCTCGGGAGGGTTTAATTTCCCTAGTGCCCCTCTGCCTTGCTGGAAGTCAGAGAGGAACCCACTCCCGCCTTAGGCATCCTGCCCATAAACTGCTAGATAGGCCCAGATGAGGGGTCTGGGACCAAAGCCTGGTGCTTATGAGGGATGGGCAGGGTGGGAACTCCGGCCCCTGGAACCACGTGGGGTGCATGTGCTGAGAGGGGATTGCAATTGTGACGCTCCTGCAGGGGCTCTGAGGGACCTATGGGGGAAGGGGGTGATGTCTGGAGGCTACTCCGACTCTCCCCTGACCCTGACCCCCTTCCCCAGCGCCCCCAGGTTCCAGGCCCCAGAGTGGACACGGTGTGGCCAACAGGTGGCGCTGCAGGTCCACCGCTGGCCTGACCTTTCTCCCAAGGACACAAGCCTTGGTTCTAAAGGGGACCACTAGCTTCTATGGGGTGGAGTTGGGGACTGCTCTCCCAATGCCCAAGGGTTACCCCTCTAGGGTCCTGCGTAGTTTTGAACCGATGACCTTGAGATTAGCAGCCCAACTCTTAAGCACTATGCTACCAGGGGTCCTACATATTTCATCATAGTAATTAAAAAAAATGGCTCCCAACATTGTCAACTCCCCCTGCCAAACTGCTGTCTACTGAAGACCACCCCAGCTCACAGAAAGTCTGCTCCTGAGCAAAGGGTCCCCCATGATGGAGAGAGGGGTCTGTGGTACGCGACACTCACGTGCCACATTCCCAGGTGCTGTGGCCAACGGAGTGCCAACCAACTGAATCCCGTGGGGGTAGAACAGAAACCACTTGCAGGATGATGTGGACGCTGCAAATCAGAGATGCCCAGGCCCCGGGGGTTGGCGGTGGGGGCAACTGGCCTTTGCTGACTTGGGGTTATGTGGGGAGGGGAGGGCTGCGTTTGATCCCACTGAAGCACAAGATGGGCTGCTTTGCCGCCCGCCCCCCATACCCCAATGCTGAAATCTGACCAGGAGAGGGCGCAGGACCAAAGAAGGGAAAGGGCAGAGGACCGTTAGATCAGAGACAGACCAGACGAGGCTTTCTGCTCCCACAGGTCTGTCAGTCTGTCCTACTGTGGTGCCTTCATGTTGTGTGATGCTGTAACTGTGCCTCTGGTGTTTCAAATACCAGCAGGGTCACCCATGGTGGACAAGTTTCAGCTGGGCTTCCAGACGAAAAACAAACTAGGAAGGAAGAATAGCAGATTCGCTTCTGCGGGATTAGTCCCTGAAAACCATAAAATAACTGGAACGTTGTCAGATATATGGAAAATGAGCCCCCCACGATGGAAGACCCTCAAAGTACTATTAAAGAAGACGAGCTTCCTCAAAGTCGAGTCGACCTTAGTCACATGCATGGAGCAAAGCTCTAAGGACCTTCTCATCTGCTGATGGGACGCAACTCAAAAGTAGAAGAAACAGCTGCAAACATCCATTAATAATCAGAACAGGGAATGTACAAAGTGAGAATCTAGGAAAATAGGAAATCATCAAAAAATGAAATGGGGTAAAGAGAAGATGGCAGAGTAGGCAGACACATTACACGGATCATCTGCAACAAAGGTTGTTGTGAAGCGCTGTAGAGTCAGTTCTGACTCATAGTGACCCTGTGTAGGGTTTCCAAGGAGCAGCTGGTGGGTTTGAATCGCCAACCTAGTGTTAGCAGTCCAGTAATCCAGTGCTTATCCTACAGTGCCACAGCAGGACTTGAGAGACCAAATGGAGCAGACACATGAAAATCCTGGAACCCGGGACTTCAGGGGAATGTTCGAGAAGTGGACTGAGTGCTTTGGGGGGAGGAGAAATCCAACCAGAATGTTCCTTAGAAGAAGCCAGATGATGAGACTTCATGTCTCATGCTTTGGATATGTTATCAGGAGGGACCAGTCCCTGGAGAAGTGGAGGGATAGTGAAAGAAAAGGAAGACCCCCAATGCAATGGATTGGTACAGCGACATCGATAGCAGTGGGTTCCATGGCAGCCGTGGTTGTGAGGATGGTGCAGGGCGGGCCAGGGTTTCATGCTGCTGTGCACAGAGTCGCTGTGAGTTAGAAATGACTGGACAGTACCTACCAACAGCAACAATAAGACAATCAGAAGTACCTACCTGGTCTCCGTCTGGAGGTCACCAAGAGTGACCATGCTGGTATTTAAAATACCGGTGGTATAGCTTCCAGCGTCACAGCCACACGGACACACCACAGTTCAGGAACCAGATGAGTGGTGAGTGAGATTCCTACATCCAGGGAAAGATTGATAACAAGATACAGAGCTCTCCCAGGAGTCCTGGGCCCACAGACACTGAAAAGGCAAGACCCTTTCTCCAGAGCCAGAACTCCGAACTTGGACTGACAGCTTCCCAGACTGTGAGACTCCCGCTGTGGCGCTGTAAGATCAGCACTGGACTACAAACCACAAGGTCGATAGTTCAAACCCACCAGGTGCTCCTCAGAAACCCTATACAGGGTTGCTATGAGTCAGAACCGACTCGATGGCAGTTAACCACAACATATTGTCAGAAAGTGCGTGTCTGTTTGTTAAACGCGTCCACGAGTGCTATTTCTGTTATAGCAGCTCTGTTGTTATGTGCCGTGGAGTCGGTTCTGGCTCATAGCAACCCTGTACAGGGCTTCCAAGGCTGTAAACCTTTACGGGAGCAGAAAGCTTCACCTTTCTCCCTCGGAACGGCTGGTAGTTTCCAACTGCTGACCATGAGATTAGCAGCTTGATTCATAACCACTACACTACCAGAACTCCTTTTATAGCAGTACTAGAGAATGAAGTTAGAGACCACTTCAAGAAGCGAGTTGACACATAGAACACCAACAATCAAACACCAGGGGAGTTGTGGGATGACATCAAGAATATCATATACAACGGTAATCCTTTCCCAGGAGCTACTTACAAGCTTCCACCTGACTCCAACCAAGAGTTGAAGAGACAGCGAGCAGTATGCACAACACCTTCACCACGCACTTTCTATGACTCTGAAATTCGCAATTCCCAGGTCTACTTCTTCCCCTGCAGGTAGCCTAGAGATTGTGCCCAGCTCAAAATATAGAGAAACAGACCTGACTCCCAGTTAGAAGAGAAGTGGACGGGACCTTGGGAGATCGTGCTGACGACCCCACTGCTGTCAGACTCCTGGGTCTCAAGACCTGGAC